TTATTATTATTATTGTTATTATTATTATTACTATTGTTGTTGTTGTTATTGTTGTTTTATAATTGTTGTTTATAATTTGTACAATTAACCTCCCTGTGGTTCGACCCCGGTCTTGCCGGGTTATTTATTACTTTGACACTCCTGCACTTGGGAGAAGACATCAATCTTTTCGTCGTGTCAATGAGCAGAATCAAGTGATAACAATGCGAGAGTTTGTAAACCTGAATATTTAAAGAGAAGTATATAATAGACCTTGTTATAAATATTGCAAATAACTATTGGAAAATATTTACTACGATGCGTCTCAAGAGTCAGTAAAATTCTCCCTTACTTTTCTATCATAGTAATAACAGTTTTGTCAAAATGGTTTTATTAAAACCTAAAGCAGTTAGTTAGTTTTTCTTTGTCAACTACTACCCTCTCCCCCAAATCAAAACGTGATATTATCCTCAATGAATAAAGGTAGAAAGATAAAGTATAGAAGCCATCACTTGAAATAACAAACATTGACAAACCTGAAACATACTTAAACAAATATAAGAAACAACAAAACACAAATATTATGTTATTAATAAAACCAAAAGACATTTTATATTGTAATTGTGATTGTGACTCATTTCTTCCCTTAGTTTTATATCTAAGAGCGACTTAAACACTTTTTATGGGTTGGGGATAGGCTTCCCATTTAATTTTCTTAAAACTGGCAAACAATGTCTTTTTTAGTTAAATTCACAAGACTAAGTTGATCATGTTCTTTATGAAAATGAGTCGATAAATCACAAATTACACGATGCACATCTCCACTAGGATGCATCTCAAGAGTCAATAGAAGATTATCTAAAGATTCCTTATGATTTGAAATAAATCCTGACTTTTGATAATTTTCATAAGTTTTGCAAAACACATATGTCTTTGAACATGGTAGGCTAATAAAATTAACTTTGTAAGATTTTTACAGTTGTATTTCTTGATGAGTAATGACCCCCACATGCGTTAGAATGACAAAATTTAATGACACTACTTACCTTATTGTCAGGAATGCATCTTTAAAATATTTGATCAGGAAAATATTTGAATAAATAAGGGTCGTCCCAATAAAAATATTTGTTCAAGAACTTCCTTTTATCTTGGAAATTCTTTGTTCAAGAACTTCCTTTTATCTTGGATACTCCAATGAGCTGGCAAATATCGTGAAGCAAGAAAATTGACAAAATTAGCAAACCAAGGCATTGAACTAAGAGAAAGCAAGGAGTTATCAGGAAAGTAATCATTGATTGGTGTGATGTCGGATGTCGAATCTATTATCAATCTTGACAAAAGATCCGCATTAACATTTTCGGTGCCTTTCTTAACTATGATTTTTTCCTAAGAATAAATCATTTGTAAATCTCTATATTCATTAAACTTTATTTTTACTCAAAGTAAATTTAAGTTAATCATAAACTAATTCTTGAATAAAATTTACTTCATGTAAATCATTATCATCTCCAGGTTGCTTGCAAATGTTGAAAATATTAATCTCCAATGTCATGTTTTCAAATGATAACTTTATAAGTCCATTCCTACAATTAATCAATACATTAAAATTTTCAAGAAATATACTTCCTAAAATAACAGGAAATGAATTACATGCTTTATTAGGTTGTGTGTTTAAGACAATAAAATCCATACGATAAATGAATTTATCGACTTGTACTAACACATCTTCAACTATTTCTCTAGGTATTTTTAAATCACATAGATTGAGATTTTGAAAAACTAAATATGGAAGTAAATTCACACTAGCTGTAAGATCAAGTAAATTTTTTTTAATTTTATGTTCTCCAATAAAGCAAGAAATTATAAGACAACTAGGGTTTTTATATTTCAAATTATTATTGTTATAAAGAATGACACTTCCTTATTCGGCTAAAAAGGCTTTGTTTTTCATATTTAGTTTTCTCTCCACAGTACACATATCTTTAAAAAATTTAGCATAGGAAGGTACTTGTGTAATAACATCCAACAAAGATATATTGATCCTTACATGTTTGAAAGTTTCAAAGATTTTAGAGTTGTGGTTGATCTTTCTTTGTTTGGTTATGGTATGAGGAAATGGATGTGCTGGTGAGGAATCGGTGTTTTCTTTGCATTGTTTAGATTCAAACCCTTCCTTACCCTTAGAGATTAACTCATCATCTTTCTCATATGGTTCAAGAGTGGGTTTTTCAATAACCTTGCTACTGCAAAGAGTGATGACTGATTTGATTTAATCCATGTGTTGGCTTCCGAAACTACTTGACTTTGAATTTTATTGTTCTTTCAGATTTTGATGTGGTTGAGATGTAAAATTACCTTTCTCATGAAAATTAATAGTAGATATGAATTTTGTAAGAGCATTTTTTAGATCTGTCATGGTTTAAGCATTTTGAGTGTTGATTGTCTCTTGATAAAAGATCCGCATCAAAAAGATCCGCATCAATGTTTTCA